GAGCTAGCAATGTGACTCGGCAACAATGGGGGTCAGGGAGCACCCCCCACTCCAGGGCTCAGGGATTCAAATGCACTCAGCTAAGGGCCTCAATGGGCAAATTGCAGAGTCAGGAGAGTGCCAGTGATCTGGCTTGGCCAGGCAGTGACTAAGGGGGAAGGCAGCAGCTGCAGAATCTCGGGTTCATGTCAAAGAGGTCCTTCGTCATTCTAGGGTTCACACACGGAGAAGAGCATGCACCCTCTGTCCCCTCACAGCCATGCAATGTGCTGCAGCTACCAGGGCTCCTAGGTGCCAGCCCCCAATTGGCCCAGAGATCATCCCCCTTCCTCCCCCGATGCCATCGCTTGGTCTGAGCCGTGCACACACACACACCCTGCTGCCGTACAGAGCCTGCCATCCCCTGCCACGCTGCACAGCACAGCCTGCTGCACCCCGCTACTCCCCATCACCCATGCCGACAGCCCTGCAATGCTGTACAAGGCTCTGTCCTGGCCCACATGTGGCGGGTGATGTATGCCAGGCAAGGGTCTCAGTATGCCCCTCAGTCCCAACCCACGAACAGTGGCTATTCCTGACCTGGGGCTCCCCACCCTTAGCACTGCTAGTGCCCCTCACTCCTGACCCACAGACCCCTGCAATCCCTGGCTGGGCTCCCCACACACAATTTTCTCAGTGCCTCTCACTCCAGACCTGCTAGCCCAGCCCTGGGCTCCCACCCACAGCTCTGCCAGTGTCCTTCAATACTTTTCCCCTCACCTGAGCTGCCCCTGCAACACACAGGCACCAAGCTCTCCCCAGCCCCAAAACTCCCACTGAAAATATCTGTGATAGGATCTTGGGCTGACATCTCTCAGATCCCTGATAGTCCTTGTAACGGGGCTCCAACACCATGTGCCTCACCCTCACACAGGCCCCCCACCTTCCAGCCTTTCTCCTCTGTATGGCAGACACCCCCTGGGTACACATGGGGCCTACCTACTCCTATGCACCATGGGGAGGGGAGGATTGAGCTATTACCAGACACAAGGGAAGAAGAAAACCAGAGACAAGCCATGGTAAGACAGGGGTTCAGAACCCCGTGGAGAGGGGCTAAGGTGCTATTGGAGACACCCCACATCATCCACACTGTCTCCCCACTCAATACAGTAACATGGGACCAACCTGAGTGGATGCCCCTCTACTGCTAACCAGCACCAGCTCCACCCCCCCAGGCAGGGGGCTCCCAGGCCCTAGAGGGGGTGTGGAAAGAAGGAGGGATTTCACTCCAGAGGGAAGACTGGGCAGCACCCTCCCCACAGAAACCTTCCCACAAGGGGCAGCACGATGTATCCTCTCCCTGTGCCCCCCAGAACAGCACAGCACAGATGCACCAATCCCCCCCCATGTGTTCCCTGCCCCCCCAGGAAAGGGCTACCTGGTGCTTCCTCCCCCCACCAATCTCCTTACCCCTCCCCCACCCACCAAGGACAAGGTGACATGGACCCCCAGTACAATGTGGATTCAGCCCCCCAATCCTAATGTGAACCCAGCCCCCCCTCCTCCTACTCCTCCTCCAGTGCAGCGTGGACCAGCCCCCCCCTCCTCCAGTGCAGTGTGGACGCGCCCCCCCCATTATCTCCTATGGGGGGCGGGCTGGACCATCCCTCTCGGGGGGGGGGGAAATCTCCCTGCCTGGCCTGCATCCCGCAGACGGGCACGTCGCCATCCCATAATACCCCAGCCGGGCGGGGGGGCGGGGACCTTACCTGGGGTCTCCCCTGCGGCTGCCTCGGCCTCACCCTTCGCGGCGCTACCCCCCCTCCCCGGGAGAGAGAACAAGGCAGCTGAGCATGGGCGGCGCAACCTAACCCGCAGCCCCTCCAAGCCCCGCCCACCTCGCCCGGCCGCGGCGACGGGCCCGGCGGTCTAGGAGGCGGGGCCAGCCAGCAGGTTAGGCTGAGAGCCGACCAGGAAGTCTCCGCAGAGAGGAGGGGGAGGGAGTGAGGGGCCTCGCCCGGGCGGGTCTGCCTTGAGTGGTGCCTGAATTAAAATAATAATAATTTAATAAACCCGTTGTTTGTGGATTAATTCCCCCCCCCCATTCGTTTGGAAACCTGTTGTGGGGAATTTTTTTACACCCCTTTCACAGTCAGGCAGTGGGTAGGTCAGCTATGTGGTATAGCCATGTTGGTGTGGGATGGATGCTGAGTGTATTTTGAGGGGGACCCCTATTTCACCCAGGGGTGACCCCACACTCGCAGTGCCCCACCACCCTCCAATGCCCGGCTGGTGAACAGTCTGCCTGACCCTGATCCAAAAACCATAAGTCAGCTTCCCCCCCAATCATGAGATGGGCCTAAAATCATGGGATCAGGGTTAGAAATCCTGGGATTGGGTTCAATAGTAATGAGACTGACTTTTAAATTAATGGGATTGTGTTTAAAAATCATGGGAGTTTTTTGTAAACAAGTATACGATTCTTTTTAATTTTTTTTTAAGACTTTAGGGGTGGTCACTTTTCCAACTTTTCTCATCCAACAGCAGGGCCAGAAACTCCCTTTACAAAGTAAGAAAGCTGGCTGTCTCACATAAACAATTATAATAATCTCTAGCTTCTATCTATTGTTTTTCACCTGTGTTGATCCCAATGTGCTTTAAAAACAAGGTCAGTATAACTACCCGCATTTTAGAGATGGGGAAACTGAGGCACAACATGGTGAAGTGACTGTTCAAGGTCACTCAGCAAGCCAGAAGCAGAGCCAGGAATAATCACCTAACGCTAGGAGCTGGGGCTTTAAGAGAAACACCCAATGTCCAAGACTTGCAATAAAATGATTAAATCCGGCAACACTGAAATGCTAAAAAACATTAATTAACCACCAACCTGCACCAAAAAAAAAAAATATTTTTGTTATCCTTCTATGGTTGGAGTTTAGAGTGGAGTGGACGTCAACCTCAAGGGCAGAACTTTTTGTTAAAGAGTAGCGAATTCAAAAGGCTCTAAAATCTGCAGGCATACTCACACTGTCCTGAAAATTGCTTGGCTTCATTAAGCCTAGGGGAAGAATTAGTGGCCAGTGTTTAGGGTCATTTGATCCAATGGTTCCCAAGATTCTGCCCCACACAAAATTAGCTTCTTTTACATCTTCAAAATGCACTGAAATCCACATACAGTGAGATCATCTTGATTGCTGGTAGACCACCGACAGGAGCTGGAGTAGGAGTTGTGCTGCGAATTTGGAGTAATTTGGTCAAGGAGTTCTAGAGTCAGAAACCCCCCTCCTACCCCCAACACAAGTGAGCTGCTTACAGCTTTCAGATTACCATTCATGCATATTGGTAATCTGCCTTAAAAGTAGTGCACCCCAGGATATGGGGGATGTGAACACCCCACTGAGATGAATGTGGCAGCTCACACACACTGGTATGGCGTCAAGATAAATCTGTCAGCTGAAAGCACCACACTGAGATGAATGAGGCAGCTCATACCTCTATGACCCTCACCTACTGCAGAGCCCCTTTCCCCTCTAGCCCTGTGGGGGGATGGAGAGGTCAGGAGGGAGATACAGCTGGTAGCTGAGTGGGAGGTGCAGTTCTCTCCCCTGCACATAACCCTATTTCTGGGTATTACCACAGGAGAGATTTACTTTAGCCCTCTAATTCCCATTTTTCAAAGGAATAAAATGGTGTCAATCCTGGTTTTCAGAATCTTAAAGGCTGTTCTACACATGGAGTTGCTCTTGATTAAGGCAGGGTGTGAATTTAAAGTAAAACAGCTATTCTGAAAAACTCCATATGTGGATGCTCTTATTCTGTAATTCACATCTTTAATACAGACTAATTTTTCTGAGTGCACCCATGTAAACAAGACTTTATTGTAGAATAAAAGCATACAACACAGGAAGTTATTCTAAACTATTCCGCTTTATATTCATGCCCTGCCATAAACTGGATTAATATCCCCATGTAGACAATCCCTAAAAATGCCCACTTCTGGAGTTATAGTCAGGAAAACTACACATGTACATAAACCCTCAGGCGCTGTCTACACTGTAGACTCCTGTCGACTCAGTTTTATGGGTCGGGGTTGTGAAGCAGTGTATCCCGACTCACAAAGGTGTGCCAGCAAAGCTCTTAGCAATACTCCTCTTCTACTGGTACAGCTCTTTCACTTGATGGAGATCTGGTCTACATTTACCATTGATATGAGCAGAGCTGTTTCACCAGGTGTAGTTTTGTTACCCACATACCCGTTCTAAGCTTGAGAGCAGATGGATTTATACTGGCACATGAGTACTTTTGTCTCCTCCAGGAGGATTTGCCCGTGTAACTAGACTGGTCCAGCTACGGCAGAAAAGCTTTTCTAGTGTGTACAAGGCACCTGCTGGACGTGCCAGCAAAAGCACCATCTTTTCTTGCTGGTATAAACTGTGTCCACACTAAGAGGGTTTGCTGGTCTAGCTACTACAGTTACTGGCAAAGCCTGTGCAGTGATACACAGAAGCCAAGAACTCTTCTTCTGGAATAAGAATGTCCACATGTGGGGTTAATCTACGCTGTGTGTAAGCAGGCCTTAAGTCTAGGTGCGTTCTGGGCTCTGGGAGATGTGAAGGAAATTCCAGGGCAGTGAACAGAGAGATGGTGGGGCTTGCTCCCCTCCAGGTCCCTGAGGATTTTACAGCTAGAATCAGGGTGTGGCCAACAGAGCTTCTGTCAGTGAGAGGGACAAACTCTGCAGCAGCATCCGCCTCCTGTGGGACTCTTTGGGGCCTCTGCCCCCCCATTGCCCCCTGCATTGGCACGCTCAGAGGCACCATCGCAGAGTAGGAACAAAGCTATTTGCCCCTGACCCCGGAGCGTTAAAAGCCTGCTTGCCTTGCTCCATTTCTGCTCTTCATTCAGAGGTCACTACCTGAAGTCAGCGCCATGCCCCTGGTCTCAGGGCTCAGCCTATGAACCAGGACCCAGTCTTCACAAAGGAAGCTGAGCCCCAGTGGGATTCAAATAAAACAGGCACATTGAGGCAGGGGCAGGGTTTATTCGACATCCAGGGTCACAAAGAAACCAAGAGGAGTCCTGACAGATAGGCAGACTGAGGAGGGATGGGAGGACACAGGCAGAGAAAAAAGCAGGTATGTATGGGGATGGCTAGAAAGCGTGGAGAAATGGACAGACAGACACCAGGTAGAGATATGTAATGTTATCAGTAAAAGGACAAGGTGGGTAGATGAGGACAGACACTGCAGGGGGAAGGACAGACAGCTGCGTGGGTGACCAGTCAAATTCATTCTCCCCAGAGAGATGCCCAGAAACATTAGCCTCTGTGACCCATGTATTAGTCACTGCTGCGCTTCCCGGGGGCTCGACCCAGCCAGCCTACGCGGGGCCACGTCTCACACCCAGATGACCCAGTGCAGCTCCAAGGTGTCTGAGAAGTGCAGGGAGAAATGCCCACAAAACCGCTCCGGTCCTTCCAGCAGAGAACAGTGGCTCACCTAGTCTAACTTCTGTACTAAGCCCAGTGACTGGTGTCTGGCGAAAGCATCCCTCAGCTGGGATTCTCAGCCCTTCCAGCTTGATGCTGAGACCTGGAGCAGCTCAACACATTTCCCTCCAAAAAGCTTTTTAATCCCAAAGGGATGTTTCCGCAAAGCCACTTCCCACAGAAAAAGATTTATTGTTTTTTAAACAAAGTAAAAAATTTTATTTTACAAACAGTGGGGGAATTCCTTCCCTCCTCCAGTAGCCCTCCCCTTTCCTTGCCCCAGGAAAAGAGGGAGGGGATGTAAAAGTGAGGGACAGAAGGAATTCCCCCGACTCCTGCTATTCTGAAATGAAACCATTTGACAGTTTCAAAAGTTTAAATAACCCATAACCCGTGAAAAAAGGGGAACCAGAAAAACTAGTGTTCCCCCTCAAAGTCCCGTCCCCCCTGAAACAGGAAGAAAAACAACCAAACAAAAACTAATCAAAATGTCTGAATGAAATTAAAATTGCTCATTTTCTTTTTAAAAATAAAATAAAAAACTGCCCCCAAAACAAACCCTAAAATGCCCAAATTTTGGACTGAATTCATAACTCCCAGATAGCTTCCCTGTGGGGCTGGACTCCCTCACGTCAGTCCTGTCCCAGGAGATGCTAAGACCTTGTCTACACTTAATGGATATGTCAGCCAGGGGTGTGAACAAAACACACAACCTAGCAACATAGCTATGCCAACAAAGCCCCAGCTGTGCGGGCAGAAAAGGGCTTGTCAGCACAACTCACGTTGTTTGGCGAGGTCACGTTCCTCCACTGGCAGAAAAACTTCTGGAGGTGCAGCGCATGCTGGCATAGCCTGCGTAGTGTAGACACAGCTAGAGACAGACCGTGCAAGTCCCTAGGCTTGCAAGCTGGGACTGTACCTAACAAAGCCAACATGTGCCTCGAAACTGTCTCCTGCACTTGAGAGATGGGTCGAAAGTTTGTTTTACAAAAAGCTTCAACAGAAAATGAACAATTTTTGTTTCTTCAACATTTTAAACTTTTTAAATTGTTTTTGTTTCAAAATTTGAAACAAGTTTTTTTCCAAAGTGTTTGTAAACAAACATTTATGTAATTAAAAAAGGATTTTCTTGCTTTTTCCTTCTCTCACTTTTTTTTTTTTTTTTTTTTTTTAAATTCCCTTTCTCTCCTTTTTTACCTCACTGGGAAAAAAAAAAAAAAGGGTAGAACAATGATCACTTTTTTTTGGTTAAAACGTTTTTTCTCACTGGGAAAATGCAGACACGAGAAACAGAGGGGTTCTTCCTCCCACATTCTCCAACTTTAAAAACCTTTCAAACTCCTTTTTCCCCCATAGAAAATGCAAGAAAATAAAAATGCGAGAAAGTTGACATTTCCCCACAATTTCAAACCAAAAATTTGCAATATTTTCCCCTTCAAAATATTTTAAATTGTTAAATATTTATGGGAAGGGGGAATCTACGTGTATATAGAGATGGAACCCTATTTTTCAGCAAAACATTTTTGTCCAAAATCCAATGACACCCCCCCCCCCCCAGTGCTATTTATGCTAGTAACACGTATACAGCAGTAGCACACAAAGAGCACAGCAGGTTGGGGCCCACTTGGTCCAGGAGACACAGAATACCCAACCCTCCCCACCTCAAGCAGCTTGTGATCTAAGGGGTGAATTTAAAATGGAGCCACTAAACCAGATTAAATCCCTGTATGGATGCTCTTATTCAGAATTAAGGTGACGCTAATTCAGTTGATTTTAATTTACAGCCAAAATGAATTAAGCTAAACTGTATTCAGCTCACTTTAATTCTAAATAATAAAAGCATCCACACAGGGGTTTAATGCACTTTAAGGAATCTACTTTAAAAGTGAATTCAGATTAACTTTCCTGAGTAGACAGCCCGTTAGGTATCATCTACATGGGGAAATTGCATCAGTCTAACGCAGCCAACCTGCAAATTCCAACTCAGACATCCAAGCCAGAACAAACCATGGCACTGTCTCCCATTTGGGTTTAGAAGTGGCCTATTTCTAGGGTGACCAGATAGCAACTGTGAAAAAACGGGACAGGGGGTGGGGGGTAATAGGCGCTTATATAAGAAAAAGTCCCCAAAAAAGGGGCTGTCCCTATAAAGACGGGACATCTGGTCACCCTACCTATTTCAGTTTAGTTTACAATTGGGAACAGGTATTGTAGTGTCCAACGGGGTCCAGCAGCAGGTTCAAACCAATCAGCGTGTAACCCAGGGGTTGCTGTGGCCTGCCAAGCTCCCCATGCCCCCCCATTCCCCCCCCAAGTTATTTGCTGCGGCCAGCAAGCTCCCCCCCGAGAGCGCCGCGTTCCCGCGCCTCCGCCTACCTCCAGGCGCTTCCCTCCGCCAAACAGCCAGGAGGGAGGGGGGGAGGAACAGGGAGCCTCCTGCTCAGGGGAGGAGGCAGAGAAGAGGCAGGGCAGGGGCGGAGTTGGGGTGGGGATTTTGGGGAAGGGGTTGGAATGGGGGCAGGGAAGGGGTGGGAAGAGGCAGGGCAGGGGCGGGGTCTCATGGAAGAGGTGGAGTGGAGCAGGTCTGGGGGCAGTGGGGGTGCGGGGGTGTCAGTGATGCAGCCCTTGGGCCAATGTACTAGTCCTCATGTGGCCCTCATGGTGATTTGAGTTTGAGATCCCTGGTGTAACCAGTGCAACGTTCCCATGCAGGTAAAGACTAAAAGACCTTCCAGACTCTGCAGGTGGGTGAAGTGAGATGGGGTGACTTAGTAGAATGTATGCAGTGTGTAGCCACGGGCCAGCACAGCCCTCCAGCTGCCTGCAGCAGCGCACACGGGATTCAGAGGAGGCCAAGGGGTATCTTTAGGGAGCTTTCCCCAGAGCTAAGGGGCAGGAATGGAGGCCGGGCACATGGTTGTCTGTTCCCTCTGGGAGCCATGCTGACCTGAGCTGAGAGACAAGGGGAGTTGGGGTCTTTGCAAACCCCAGTCCTGACTGTAAAACGCTCCCCCAGATGCACCAGTTACTGAACGCAGTCTATGGCCTAATCACCAGTGTCTGTACCTCTGTGTTGTCAGTATGCTCCCCCTGTGGCTGGAGACATTGAGGCCCAGATGTTCAGAGCTCTCTAAGGGAACTGGGTGCCCAGTGAATGGGGAACTCAGTGCCTGAAGCCCCCAGAAAGCTTAGAAAAACTGAGTCCTGCCCACACTGACAAAAGAATAAATCTCCCATCAGTGGTGCGGCCTAGGAGGTTACAGCAGTGGGTGCTGGGAGCCAGGACTCCTGGGTTCTATCTCCAGCTCTGGGAGGAGAGTGGGGTCTAGTGGGTTAGAACAGGGGGGCTGGGAGCCAGGATGCCTGGGTTCTCTCCCCGGCTCTGGGAGGGGAAGGACCAAGCCATGGTGCCCTGCCCCATAAGCAGAGATGCAGGGAGTGCGGATTGCAGACATGCACACGTTTAATAAGACGAGGAGCCACAGAGAGCGAGTACACAATAAAAGCCAATACAGGCTGAGGGGTGGGGGCTGGGCACCTGGCCAGGAACACACAAACAGGGTGTGGGGGGGTCCCCAGTTAGGACCCACAAGCCTCAGGGAAGGGTTGGGTGGGGCCTCGCTGGGGCCCAGGCAGCAAGAAATACAGCTGAAGCGAGAAGGCACTGACGAGGGGAGACTCCAGACCCGGCTCTGCCTCTGCCCCCCACCCCAGCTTACAAGAAGGAATGTTTGGGGGGGGTGGAACCACGGGCAGGGTCTCTAACCACCCCCCAGGCACGAGTCAGGGGACACCTGTTCCCCTCTATGGGGTTGGGACAGGAGTCATGAGCCCCATCCCACCTCCACAGCTCAGCAAGGGAGCCACCTTCCCCGCCAGGGACCGGGGTGGGCTGGTCTCAGTCCCAGGGGAGCAGAGGGTGACCCCCCCCACCCCACTCCAGGGGCACTGGCATGCACCAGAGTGCACAACGAGGGGCTCAACAGCAGCCCGAGCTGTCTCCTGAGCCTTGGGGGCTGTGACGAGAGCCGGCGCCAGGAGCTGTGCCTGACGGCTGCTGGGGCCCGATCTTGATGCCATTCGCCTAGAAGAGAGAGGGGAGGTTACTCAGGTGTGCATAGGGGAGGGTGCTGCCCCCAGGGGCCCTGCAACAAGACACTGGGTCTGGGAATGGGATCCCATCACCCCTAGAAGATCTCACAGAGCTCCTGGCCCCTAGGGGAAGGGACCCAGGCATCCGAGATAGCAGCATGGGGCACTCACTCCCACAGCATATGCCTTGGAGAGGAAATGGGAACCCAGGTGTCCAGGACAGCACTGCCAGGGCACCCCCAAGCCAGGAGACCCTGCAGGCCTTCGGGGATGAGCAATGGGGCCCAGGCTCACCTCGTTGTTGACGTCAAAGAGCCCCTGCTGAATCTTCCTGTAGATTTCCTTGGCTGTGTCAATGAAGGCCTGAAAACCCAACACATGTGGGGCTGAAAGCAGGCTGGCCTGGGGGCGTCTCTCCCCCACACCCAAGATGCACCCCCTAGCCCTGCTGTCAGCGGGGGGACTCCTGGGTGTAACAGGGTGTGGAGGGGGGACTATGGGAAGTTACCCCAGGTCCCCTCTGCCACTGGCGGCTGTCTTGGCCAAGCGGAGGGTGTGGGAATGGGGTGGGCAGAACAGGGAGGAATGGGGCGGGAGAGCAGGTGGGCAGGCGGGGGGAGGTGGTGGGAGAGCAGGTTGGGGGATGGGGCAGGAGAGCAGGTGGGCAGATGGGGAGACTGTGGGAGAGCTGGTGGTGGGTGGGAAGGGGCAGTCCGGGCCGTGATCCCAGCCCCCTTTTCCCTTGGTCACCTCCTCGACGTTGGTGGATGTCTTGGCCGAGGTCTCCATGAAGACCAGCCCGTGTTCCCGTGCGAAGGCCTCTCCCTCTGCTTTCTGCACATCCCGCCGGGACTCCAGGTCACTGCAGGGACACCAGGGGTGGGGGGTGAGCATGTCTGGGCAGGGGTCCTGCTCCAGGGAGTCCTGCCCTCGGCTGTGAAGCCTGTACTGGCAGGGCTGAACACGCTTCACCCTGGATCCCTGCACCACGCAGAGAATTCCCTCACTGAGAGCCAGCTTCCCATCTGACCCAGCAGATGCCAGCCCTGCACCCACCTACCCCCTGGGGTTTTTGCACCCCACAGAGATGAGAACCCCCCTGGCAGCTCCCCCAGCTCCTTGACAGAAGATCTCTGCATGGACCTGGCCTGGACCCCAACCCCCTCAGTTACCTCTTGTTGCCGATAAGCATGATGACCATGTTGGAGCTGGAATGCTGCCGAGCGTCCTCCAGCCACGAGGTCAGGTGGTTAAAGGTCTCCCGCCTGCAGGGCAGAGAGGGGTTGGGAGGTGCTGTGGGGATAGACAGGCTCTGAGTGTGTGAGGGAGGGGAGTGTGGGGTGAGGGAGCCAGGCCCTACCTGGTGATGTCATAGACCAGCAGCGCTCCGGCTGCACCACGGTAGTAGGAGCGGGTGATGGAACGGAAAGACTCCTGGCCGGCCTGGATGGGAGAAAAAGGGGGTGAATGCAGCTGCTCACCTGGCTCCACTTCCCTGCTGGGTCCCCCGGCTCTCCCAGTCACCCTACTCCCCTGCATCACACCCACCTCCTTCCCGTACAATCCTCCCTAGCATCCTCCACACAACCACACCCCACAGCTCCCAGCCCCATCACTCCCACTGCTCCTAGCTACCTAACCCCACACCTCCTCAGATACTTCTCCCAGCCCCATTTCTCCCCACAATTGTGAATGCAGCCTCCCCCCCAGTGTCTGCCCATCTCACCGTGTCCCAGATCTGCAGCTTGATCTGTTTGCTATCAATGTTGATCATCCGAGCCCCGAACTCCACACCTGGCAGAAAGACACAACATTGGAAACCATCAAAAGGGGGACCCAATGGGGCAGGCGCAGTATAGTACACAGCTCCGCCAGTGCTCCTCACTCCCGACCCACAGTCCTGGGCTCACCCCCTCACTCCCAACCCGCAGCCCCTGCTAGCTGAACCCTGCTGGTGGCCCTCAATCCCGGCCCGCAGCCCCTGCTAGCCGAACCCTGCCGACGGCCCTCACTCCCGACCCACAGCCCTGGGCTCACCTCCTCACTCCCAACCCGCAGCCCCTGCTAGCCGAACCCTGCCGACCCCGCCGGTGGCCCTCACTCCCGACCCACAGCCCCTGCTAGCCCAGCCCAGCCCTGTCCCCCAGCCAGCCGGTGCCCCTCACTACCGACCTGCAGCCCCTGCTAGCCCAGCCCAGCCCAGCCAGCCGGTGCCCCTCAGTCCCGACCCGCAGCCCCTGCTAGCCCAGCCCCCCAGCCAGCCGGTGCCCCTCAGTCCCGACCCACAGCCCCTGCCCCCCAGCCAGCCGGTGCCCCTCAGTCCCGACCTGCAGCCCCTGCTAGCCCAGCCCAGCTCCCGAGCCAACTGGTGCCCCTCACTCCCGACCCGCAGCCCCTGCTAGCCCAGCCCCCCAGCCAGCCGGTGCCCCTCAGTCCCGACCTGCAGCCAGCCAGTGCCCCTCACTCCCGGACCGCAGCCCCTGCTAGCCCAGCCCAGCTCCCGAGCCAGCTGGTGCCCCTCAGTCCCGACCCGCAGCCCCTGCCCCCCAGCCAGCCGGTGCCCCTCAGTCCCGACCCGCAGCCCCTGCGCCCCAGCCAGCTGGTGCCCCTCACTCCCGACCCGCAGCCCCTGCTAGCCCAGCCCAGCTCCCCAGCCAGCTGGTGCCCCTCAGTCCCGACCCGCAGCCCCTGACCCCCAGCCAGCCAGTGCCCCTCAGTCCCGACCCGCAGCCCCTGCCCCCCAGCCAGCCGGTGCCCCTCAGTCCCGACCCGCAGCCACCAGTAGCCCACCCAGCTCCCGGAGCGCAGCCCGTGCCCTCAGCCCAGCCCAGCCCCTGACCCCAGCCAGCCGGTGCCCCTCAGTCCCGACCCGCAGCCCCTGCCCCCCAGCCAGCCGGTGCCCCTCAGTCCCGACCCACAGCCCCTGCTAGCCCAGCTCAGCCCAGCTCCCGAGCCAGCCGGTGCCCCTCACTCCCGACCCGCAGCCCCTGCCCCCCAGCCAGCCCAGCCCCCCAGTGCCCCTCACTCCCGACCCGCAGCCCCTGCCCCCCAGGCAGCCGGTGCCCCGCCCCGCTGTCACCGATGGTCAGGTCATGGACGGGCTGGAAGCGCTTGTCCGTGAACTGCAGCAGGAGACAGGATTTCCCGACACCTGGGGGCACAAAATGAGACTCTCAGGCCCGGCCCCGCCTGGGGGCTGAAGCTGCGACTCCCCCCGGCCCGCCCCCCACTCCGGGAGCGCGGGTCCAGGGGTAGGCAGTGAGCCCCCCCGGGCCCCCTCCCCTCCCTCCCCGGTGGGCCCAGCGCCCCTCCCCCCGGTGGGCCCAGCGCCCCTCCCCCACCGGGGCCCCCGGTACCGGTGTCCCCGATGATGATGTATTTGAAAAGATAGGCATAAGACATGACGCCCCAACCAGGTCCGCCAAAGGCCTCTCTATCCCCGCCCAGTCTCCGACTCTACTGCTCTACATCTGGTAGCCGCTCTATCCCCACCCAGTGCCGTCTCCAGTCTCCACTGCACTATTCCAGCGCGTGGCGCCGCTCTAACCCCAGCACAGGGCCTACTCTATGCTCTACTTCTGGTACGCTCTATCCTGTATCCGGTGCCGACTCTATTATCCACTTCCTGCGCCGCTCTATCTTTGGGAGGGCTAAACTCTGTTGCTCTCCAGCCGGAAGCCGCTCTGGCCGGCCGCGCGTCCCGTTGTCCCCCACTCCCAGCTCTACGGGAGGGCTTGGGGTTTGCACCGGAAGTGACGCCAAACAGCGGTGGCTGGGGGAGAACAGTGCTGCTGGGGAGCACGGGAGGGCGTCGATTTCCGGTTCCGGGAGAGGGCTCGGGGTGGGGGGGTGGGGGTGTCGCTTACAGACTCGGAGGCGGTGGCGGCTGCTGGGACCATGGAGGTGAGGGGGGGGTGGCTGGGGCGTTGGGCGGCTGGGGGGGTGGCTGGGGCGGTGGCGGGGGGGGCCTGAGGTGGCAGGGGGGTGGCTGGGGCTTTGGGGGGCTGGGGAGGTGGCGGGGGGCTGGGGGGTGCTGAAGTCAGCCTCACACCTGTTCCACACGTAAAGGTTTTGCCGGTATCCATGTGTGACACACACACACACGTGTGCATCCCCCCTCCCCCAAATAATGGAGCCAGGACCCCCGGGTGGGGTGATGCTGACACAAAAGCACGTTTGCTGGTGCAGCTTGTTTGGCTCTGCGATCTGGCCTGAGCTGTGTCGCATTCAAATGCTATTTCTCTTGGGCTGGCATCAGGCGTGTCTCCATTAGGGCAGCGTTGGCAGCAGAGCTGCGCCGATGTCCAGCTCTGTCAGCAAATCTGTGCTAGTATAGATGAGACCTTACACCAAAGTAATGAAGGGGCTGGATTGTGACTGACACCTGCCTCCCGCTGGCATGAAACTGGCTCAGGCAGTTTGATTCGCACCTGTAAACTTACCGGCCCACCTGAGCACTCGCGAACTCACGTCACTTTGACTGAACCTGTGTAAAATCCCATCCTCAAAGAGATCTCTGCCTGTGGGTCAGGCTGAAATCCCAGATCCCTAGGCCACTTTAGAGGGACAAAAAGGCTGTGAGCCAGATCTTGTCAACACTTAAACATGGTGGTGTCATGGCCATGTCAGCAGTGTTAAGGCAGCAAACCCCTCACCCAGTGTAGAGATAGCTCTGCTGGTATAAAATGTTTGTGCTGGGGAAGTGAAACAAGCTCTTCTAGCATATCTTTTATACCAGTTTCACTGTGGCTCTTGTGGGGGTTTTTCTGGCGTAAGTGTCACACCCGTAACAGACAGCTCTGGCACTAAACCTTCTAGACCAGGGCTTTGCTTTAGCCCAGCTTATGTGGGTTAAACTGCAGGCTGTGGGCTTGTCTGGGACGCTCAGGAAAATTAATGTGAATTCATTTAAAGTGGATTAGTTAACCACATTAAATACATATGAAGATGCTTGCTCTTATTCAGAATTAAAGTGGCCTCAATTCAATTTAACCTAACTCACTTGGAAGTTAATTAAAGTGAATTAGGGCCACTTGAATAAGACTATCCACACAGGAGTTGTGTGCAGTTTAGCAAATCCACTTGAAATTTACACTTGTTGTTAAATTGGATTAACTTTTCTGAGTGTCCCATGTAGACAAACCCTTAGTGACTTGCCTCAGGTTCCACAGGGAGTCTGTGACAAAGCAGGGAGTGGAGTAACTTGTAGTTTAAATTCTTCCTGTCTCAATCTGGGTTAATTTTCAAACCTAGACAAATGCTAAAACCTTTGAAGCCAGTATGTAGCCTGGCGGCTTGTTGTGCTAGTTTAAGAGAATTGTGGAAGAAAACACAGCCTTCACTCTTAGGTTGTTTGCAACAAGTCAGAGACCGTTTATTCTCAAGCAGTTGCAAGGGGGAGAGTGCGCAGGGACAGGGATTTCCCCTTCCTAGGCAAGTCTCTGCCTGATAAACAATTAGGGCAAGCATTTATACCTTTTGTTGTATACAATAATGATCAACAGCCACGTCTTGTTTATACATATTCTTTCCTGATATCTCACTTTTCTCAGCAGTTCCTGCTACAGTCTGCATTCCATTCTTATCTAACACAAAGTCAAAACAGCATCTCTTACAGTTTTCCCACTCGCTTCCCGCTCGCCCAGGCCCTGCCTTAAAGTCTCATGTTTAGAGTTAGCCTGACTCTTGCTCTATTCCTAAGAAACTAAGATGTCTGCATTCAAATTCCCTTTATCCCTTTTTCCACTTCCACAGGTTGGTTTAAATTTAGTTAAACCAGAACAGAAGCATGTGGGGGGCCTTATCTCCCATTAAAGCCAGTTTATTTTGAGTTGGTTAACTGATTATTTTGGGTGGCCCCAAACTGAAATGTACCTGCTTTAATCCGTAAGGAGGGCATCTGTACAAGGCTCAGCACCAGGGTAACTGAATTGGTTTGGAAAATGGTTCAAGTAAATCCCTGGCACTTTTAATTGATTTTAAGGCCAACAGGGACCCTGTGTGTCACAGACCAGAGAATTCCTCCCAGTTCCCTCTGGAAGGTCTCTGGGCTGTCTCTGAAGCCCTCATGAGATGGAGATTCCACCACCTCCCTTGGGAGTTTGTCCTCGTGGTTAATTACCCTCATTGTTAAAAAACAAACAAAAAAACCCCAAAATGGTGCCTGATTTCCAACCTGGAATGTGCCTAGCCCAGCTTCCAGGGCAGGTGAGGCTGGCATGGTTGCCTGTGTCTTACTGGAAAGCCCCATTAACACCCCCGGGGCTCCTTCGAAAGGCCCAGCTGCAGATGGCAAGGGCAGGTATTTGCCTCTCGCTGCTGCCTGGACTGGGTGCCAGTCACCCCATGTACAGGGCTGAATTCCATAGCGAGGGCTCGTGGGCTGGGGTTTGCCTAGAGACTGAAGACACAGGCTGCTCTGCTCCCCCTCCCTCACCAGCCCACATCTCTTCTCTCCCCCATAGTTCCCTGGAGGAAACGACAATTACCTGGCCATCACAGGGACGGCCCATCCCTTCCTGTCGGGGGCGGAGGTGAGAAAACAGGTGATGGATTTGGGGTGGGAGCTGAGCAGAGCAGGGTCTGCGGGAGGTTGCACATGGACTGAGGCTGGAGCTGGGAGACCCAGGCTCACCTGGGAATGATCGACTAGCAGAGGCAGAGAGAGGAAACCAAGACGGTTCCTTCAGCAGCATTGGGAGAAGGAGCTGTGGCTCGGCCAGAGGGACCTGTCCAGGCTGGGCCCGGCTCAGGGTGGAAGAGGCTGCCTGCTGGCACTGCAGACCCCCGCGGAGGTGCATTGGTCCCTGAAGCGGGGAAAATGTTGCTGCCCCAGTGGGATTTGCTGGGGTGAAGCAGGGGGGCTGGAGCCCAGAGCTTGGTCGTGGAGCCATGTGGCTGACGCTGGTGGGACCCCAGGGGGTCTGGTTCACTGAAGGGATTTGTCCGAGGGACGGTTTAAAAGATGGGCGTAGCACAGATCCTCTGGATCACTATGGGGCACCAGGATGATAGAGCTGGGCCCTGGCTGGGGGAGGGGTAGTGAGGGACACCAGGGAGATGGGGGCTGGGCCTTGGCCGGGGGAGGGGACACCAGGGAGATGGGGGCTGGGCCCTGGCCGGGGGGAGGGGGCAGGTGGCATCGAGTTCAAGTCTCCGACCTCTCTGTAGACGTTCCACACCCCCAGCCTGGGGGATGAGGAGTTTGAGATCCCGCCCATCTCCCTGGACGCCGACCCCTCGCTAGCTGTCTCAGACGTGGTGGGGCACTTCGATGACCTCGGGGACCCCAGCAGCGCACCGGACACCGGCTTCTCCACCCAGTATGGCGTGCAAGCTCTCGACATGCCCGTGGGCATGAACCACAGCCTCATGGAGCAGGGCGGCGGGCTCCTGACGGGGGGGCTGGCCATGGTGAGGGGCTGGGGCTGGGCAGGGGAGGGCGGGTTGCTTTGCAAGGCGCTGCCCTGTAGTGCCTGGCTGTGGGGTGTGGAGGAGCCTGGGCCCCCCAGGGGCTGGCTTGGGATGTACGTGCTGGGGGGGGGGGCCAGGGCTGGTGCCCTCTAGCAGCAGGCTGGGGTATTGCAGGGGGCTGGTGTGCCTGGGCCTGCATCGGGGGAGGGGCAGTTCCCCCCAGCGCTGGTCCCTCAGTTTTGTGTCTGCCCCTCCAGGACCTGGATCACTCCATGGGCACCCAGTATAGCACCAACCCGCCTGTCACGATAGATGTGCCCATGAGCCCTGGGGCACTGATGGGGCATGGCCAGCTGACGACCATTGACCAGTCCGAGCTGAGCTCCCAGCTGGGCCTGAGCCTGGGGGGCAGCTCCATCCTACCGCCCGCTGCCCAGTCGCCCGAGGAGCGGCTCTCCACCACGCCCTCGCCCACCAGCTCCCTGCAGGAAGACGAGCCCGAGGAGTTCAGACGGGTGAGATGCTGCTGGTGCCCCGGGCTGTGCCCCCCTCCACGGGCAGTGCTGGCACCCCTTGTGTCTGTCTCCCCACCGCCCCCCATGGGTTCTGCTGCGGCGCTCTCTCTCTCACACACACACACACACACACGCCAGCGTCTGGTGCTCTCTCCTGCCCTCCCTCCCCCTCGCCTGGCTCTGCCAGTGCCCAGCCCTCTTGCCCGCCCCTTGCTCCTTCCCCCACGGGTTTTGCTGGGGCCCATGGCTCCTGGCCTTTTGGCTCCCACTTGCGTGCTGCTGAAGGTGATGCCTGTCTCCAGCAGCAGGTGCCGGCCCAGAAGGCAGCGCCGGTGGTGCTGGACGCGGGGCGGAAGCAGAAGCCCGCCAAGAAGCAGAAGAAGAAGAAGGACCCGAATGAGCCGCAGAAGCCGGTCTCAGCCTACGCCCTGTTCTTCCGTGACACACAGGCTGCCATCAAGGGCCAGAACCCCAACGCCACCTTTGGGGAGGTCTCCAAGATTGTGGCCTCCATGTGGGACAGCCTGGGCGAGGAGCAGAAACAGGTGGGGGTGGCATGGGGGGGGACTGCAGTGGGGAGGGCCATGGGGGTCTGGGGGGAAGAGCACAGGCAGGTGAGGGCTGGGGATGGGAGGAGTGGGGGTGGGGCTGGGGGTGGGCCAGGCTAGGAGCAGGGTGGTGGGGTGGGCTTTGCTGCTCAGTCCCTGTCCTTCCTTGCCAGGTTTACAAGAGGAAGACGGAGGCGGCGAAGAAGGAGTATCTGAAGGCACTGGCGGCTTATCG